TGTAAATTAGCAGACACCAGGGGCTGCTAGTGCAATGAATGCTATATACATAGGATAAAACATGTCTAGACTCTCCAACTTCTTTGGTAAACCATACCTGACTTTGAGGCTCTCTTAAATTATTCGAATTTTGAGGGGAGAGGATGCAGTTGCGAACTGTACTTTCTTTTTTTGAATTATTGATGAATAGGTGGCCCTAAATTGTATGAAAGAATCTGTATTTATATCAATTATTATAAAAAGTGTAATTTATATGTGATGAATTGTATTTTAATTTTTTAATTTTGATAATATAGAAAAAACTGAGGATGAAAAAAATTCGACGAGTAATGTTAGAGGGGTGAAAAAAATTTCAGTTTATTATATGGTGAGAGGCTAAAGGCATGTTTTAGTAATGAAATATAAAAATAAATACGAAGTGAATTACAAAATTACCCTTAAATTTCTTCTTCCCCCGACCCTAACCCTTCTCTTTCCTCCTCTCTTCCCCTCGTTCTTTCTTCTCATCTTTGGCTGGATTCCTGATCCCAGCAAGACTACGGCAAGATTAGGGTTCAAGTTCACCACTAGCATATTGGGGCGTGAGCTCATCACTGGTGACATTTGGGTTTCCTGCTTCAATGGATAACCCAAATCTGGGTTCTTGTGGCTGATTTGAGTGCTCAGACATCTCTAGGTTCTCATCTACCAACATGATGCCCTATAACAGAAGATCAACTCTTTTTTTCATCTTCTTTCCTGCTGTAGTACCAGGGTTGGTAAGTTTTTGATTAGATTTGTTCGGGAGGAGAAACGGAATAATTTTGGGAGGTGGAGGAAACTGGTGGTAAAGAATTGTGAACAAGAACTAAAAACAAATGAGAAGATTGAGAGTAATTTAATGGGGGTTTCGCCATGATCAATTGCTTAGGTAGGGATTTTGTGGACGTGGATTTGGATTTTCCTTCTCATGGATTCTTAATCCTATAAATTTCGTAGTCTTCTTCGCAGTCTTAATCGTATAAATTTCGTAATATGGACATGATAGATTGCACTTTATTTTTCAATTTTGATAATATAAAAAAATTTGAGGATGAAAAAAATCAGCTACTTATGTTAGAGAGATGAAAAAAATTGCAGTTTTTGAGGGAGAAGAATTTCAAACAAACCATTCCACCCGTGACGATTGAGGATGGCGAACAAATCAGCTATGAGAAGGCCACCAAAGCATTGAAAAGGGCTGTCCATTTTTTCTCTGCATTGCAAGCTGGTGATGGACATTGGCCCGCCGAAATTGCAGGCCCATTATATTTCCTTCCACCCTTGGTGAGCCCATTGTTAGAAATTAATTCAAAATTTTTAAACCACATCATCATGCATCACTCGAGTGCTAATTAATTACAATTGTTACATACAGGTGTTTGCCTTGTACATCACAGGTCATCTCAGCACTGTATTCCCTGCAGAGCATCGTAAAGAAATTCTTCGATACATATATTATCATCAGGTACAGACTACATATATATAGAGTCATAGACACACAAAATTTTCTATTCACTTGATAGCTACTTGTGCATTGGATTGCTAATCCATTTTTGTGCCTTGTAGAATGAAGATGGTGGATGGGGATTTCACGTTGAAAGCCATAGTAGCATGTTCTGCACCGCTCTTAACTACATTTGCATGCGTATTCTTGGGGAAGGACCTGATGGTGGTCAAGACAATGCCTGTGCAAGAGCGCGCAAGTGGATTCTTGACCATGGCAGTGTCACTCACATACCTTCTTGGGGAAAGACTTGGCTGTCGGTATGATTATCAATTTTAGTCATTATGATAAATTAATATATTTTGGATCATAGGTTCAAATATTTTATGTGTTGAACTTGGTATATATGCTAATTTCTTGCATACTACTTGTTTTTGCAGATACTAGGAGTATTTGACTGGTCAGGAAGCAACCCAATGCCTCCAGAATTTTGGTTCCTTCCTTCTTTCAGTCCTATGCACCCAAGTTTGTCCCATCTTACATGTTTTAATTAAGTATTCTACCAAAAAAACGACCGTTACCTATATATAATTGAAAACTTTGTTCCTAAAAATGGCTTTCAGTTCGGTCTTAAATCTGTTGTAATCTGATGTGGCATTGTTTGTGAACGTTAATTAATTGTTGAAGTTTACATTTTTCCTTGAGTGATATTTAGGTAAAATGTGGTGCTATTGCCGTATGGTTTACATGCCAATGTCATATCTATATGGAAAACGGTTTGTGGGTCCGATCACACCTCTAATTCAACAATTGAGAGAAGAACTTTACCTTCAACCTTACAACGAAATCAATTGGAGAAAAACACGCCATTTATGTGCTCCAGTAAGTTATAGTTGTGAGCTAGAGATATATCATAGCTCATTTTTTATTCTCCATAATGCTAATAGAGATTAAATTATTTTCAAAATTGGTATTGCAGGAAGATCTTTACTACCCACATCCATGGATACAAGATCTGATGTGGGACAGCTTGTATGTATTAACTGAGCCTTTACTTACTCGTTGGCCTCTTAACAAGTTGGTTAGAGAGAAGGCTCTACAAGTGACTATGGAACACATTCATTATGAAGATGAGAACAGTAGATACATCACCATTGGTTGCGTGGAAAAGGTAATGTGTCTATTTATTAGAGAATAACTTATGGGAAAGAGGAATAATATTGATGTTATTTCTTTAAGCTAAACATGGTGAATAACCCTCTTATTATTGTTCGACATGTATTGAGTAGGTGTTGTGCATGATTGCTTGTTGGGAGGAAGATCCAAATGGTGATTACTTCAAAAAACATCTCGCTAGGATCCCAGATTACATATGGGTTGCTGAAGATGGAATGAAGATGCAGAGTTTTGGAAGTCAAGAGTGGGATGCTGGTTTTGCTGTTCAAGCTTTACTTGCTAGCAATCTCGTAGATGAAATTGGACCCGTACTTAAAAGAGGACATGATTTCATAAAGAAATCTCAGGTTTGACACATTATTGCCTACTATCATAAACAACTCTTAATTTCTATCTTAATGAGAAAAAAAATGATCATAATTGCCATTTCACGCTTGAAATTTTGAAGGTCAAGGATAACCCTTCAGGTAACTTTAAGAAAATGTATCGTCATATTTCCAAGGGATCATGGACTTTCTCTGATCAAGATCATGGATGGCAAGTTTCTGATTGCACTGCAGAAGGCTTGAAGGTAAACTTGATTTTTCTATTGTTGGGCAATTGATTTAAGGAAATTAAGGAATGCACCATTAGTTCTTTCATTTTATGGGTTTTACTTTATTTTACAGTGTTGCCTACTAATGTCAACACTGCCCCAAGAAATTGTTGGTGACAAACTAGAACCAGAGAGGTTGTATGACGCCGTTAATATTGTGCTTTCTCTCCAGGTGAATATTTGTAGTGATCCTAGTATTGATAGTTTTTTTGTTTAAATATTTAGTTCTTGCACTATCAAAATAAGTTTTTCATTTGATTAATTACAGAACAAAAATGGAGGTCTATCTGCTTGGGAACCAGCTGGAGCTTCGAGATGGTTGGAAGTAAGCGCTAAAAAATATGGGGAAATACCTCTCTTTTTCTCCATGAAAATTATAAAGGTTATTAAATTCTTCTAGATTTAGATGAGGCTAGTTAATGTTTCTTTCTCTGTCATTCTTTCTCAGATGCTTAACCCCACGGAATTTTTCGAGGACATTGTCATTGAGCACGAATATGTTGAGTGCACTTCATCAGCAATCCAAGCTTTAATTTTGTTTAAGAAGTTATATCCAGAGCACAGGAAGAAGGAGATTGAATGTTTAATTGCAAATGCTGTACACTACCTTGAGAATGTACAAATGCCTGATGGGTCATGGTATATTCCTCTCCTCTGTTTTTCTAATATTTTCTAAAGCATATGATATTTAACAAAGTATTAGAGAAATCAATTACATGAAAAACTTCAATAGGTATGGATGCTGGGGAGTCTGCTTCACATATGGTTCATGGTTTGCACTTGGAGGACTAGCTGCTGCTGGCAAAACTTACGATCATTGTCCAGCAATGCGAAATGGTGTTGAATTTCTCCTCAAAACACAAAGGGAGAATGGTGGATGGGGAGAGAGCTATAAATCATGCCCTGAAAAGGTAAGTCCTAGCTTTTAAATCCAACTTGTTTAAAGTTTTACATGATGAAACTGAGGTCAATCTGAAGCAACAGATAAAGGAACAAAATAATTATCATGTTTCTCGTCTTTTTTTTTTCTTTTTCCTTTTTTTTTTTGATAAAATGTTTTGTTTCATATTTCATACATTGATTGACTTGGTCTCCCTCTCTTAGCCTAGACTAAATTAGTAAATGCTTATGTTGTTTGTTATATGCTTAGAAATATATACCTCTGGAAGAAGGCAGATCAAACTTGGTACATACTGCATGGGCTATGATGGGCTTGATTCATACCGGACAGGTAAATTTATGGTTAAAATTCAGTATCATGTCATCTATTATTCATGAGATTGTTTTTAATGTTAAAATTTTGGTCATAATATACAGGCGAAAAGAGATCCAGCACCTCTCCACCGAGCAGCCAAGCTAATCATCAATTCCCAAATGGAGGATGGTGATTTCCCCCAACAGGTATTTAATATCTTTCATTTAGCTTTAAAGTAAAGATTGTCCTTGAATCTCTTAAAACACTTCCTTTATATGTAGTATGATAGGATTCAGCATTAACCAGGCACTGCATCTCTTATTTATAATGCAGGAAATCACTGGAGTCTTCAATAAGAACTGCATGTTGCACTATGCAGCATATAGGAACATTTACCCACTCTGGGCACTTGCAGAGTACCGTAAGTGGGTTCCATTACCTTGATGCCTTCGAGATCAAGAACAAAATGGAGATAACTACATATAGCTTCCTTGGTATATTTTACGTGAAGATTGTTCTATGTATAAATGCGAATGCATATCTCGACCATCCTAAGGTGGATTGGAGTTGAACGAAGAATGTATAATCATACTGCTGCTTACTGTAGCAACAAATAATTTTTAATTATAGATCATGATATACGATATTTTTTAATTAATGTCTTTAAATATATAATTATTGTACTTTTTATTAATTAAGATTAAAACATATAAAAATAAATATTAATTTTACCATTATTATCATATGAATCATTTTAATTGTACATATAATTAATTAAATAAAGGTAATCTTTTTTTTTTTTAATATTACTCCCTCTATTCCTAAATATTAGCCATTTTAGAGGTAAAATTTTTTTTCAATTTATTTGTCGTTTTCAGATTCCTAGATTGCATTAATATTTTTCTTCCAATTTTACCCTCTTTACATAAATACAAAAACTCAAATGCCAAATAACCTAAACAACCTTTCCCTCACCGTCGTTTTCTGTTCATCTTCTTCTCAACCCTATCCTATTCTCCTAAACAATTTCCAGCATAAGGTGACTTCTTCAATTATTTTTTGACAACAAAAATTTTTCTTTTCTTTTGAAAGAAGGTTGATTAATTTCTTGAAACTCACTCTCATATCCAAGTATCTTTGATTGTTTTTTCAATAACTGGATGTGACGATCTATTTTCTAGCATTTGACGACTCACTACATTGAAACTCAATTCCATCCGGCAACGGATGTTGCAACAATTGAGTTTTGTATCAATTTTCTACCCCTAGGTTGCAACTAGAGAGAAAAATAAAATTATTGATTTTTTGGTGTTTTTGAGAAATAAAAGGAACAAAATGTTGGCAAAATTAGTATGAAAAAGTGAAATGATCGAATTGAATGGGATTGAACTTTGAAGAATGAATTTCTGATTTTTTTTTTTCTTTTGCCAACCCAAATGACAGACAGAATTAAATCCATAAAGCTTGAGAAGTGGGGGAGAAGGGTAAAATTGTACTTTGAGTACGTTTCTCATTGAAATTAAGAGGCATCAATTGTTTTTCTTAATCTTGGTAAAGTGCCTATATCGTCTAATATTAGGACAGAGTAAGTATCTAATATTAAAAAGGTTTTTTAATATATGTCTTTGTATTTATTGTATTGTTTATTAATTTATATAAAAAAATAAAAATTAATATTAATTTTAATATTATTATCATTTTAATGAATT